TGGAAAGGTAAGTATAAATTTACGACTTCCATTTATATTGAAAAAGCAGCTGTCGATAATATAAAAGTCTGGACTTTCATTTATCGTACGGAATGGTTGTGTATAAAGTTGAAAAGTCGTGTGTTTTAAAGCTATTGATTGAAGTAAATCGTATCATTTCAAATTGTCCAAAGTTCCTTGGAATTTTTAAGTATCCACATCTGATTTACACCACTTCTTGAATATATTGTTGCACAGTACTCGAAGTTTCTCCTTCACTACGGTTAATATCTTAGTAAGGAGTAAAGAAAGATGTTTGATTGAACATTTACTGGAACCCGCAGCCGCTATCTTTGTTTGTAAGGATTCTTATGAAGTTTCGGAATCCAGTATATATATGGTAGTTCAAATTCATTTTGGTTCTTTGGAATATTATAAATATTCAAAATTGACATGATTTTGAAAGAATTTCTTTCTTAGAAAGGGAAAGGGAACTTTGTGCAAATATGAACAGATAATTGGGTACATCATTCAGAGTTGAAATCCTTGCATATAAATTAAGTAATCAGATATTTTTTTTAAAACTACAAGTACCCTGTGAAATATTGGTTTACAACTGTATGAAAGACTTCAGTCAAATTTACATCATATTGTGTTTTCAAGAAGGTCATTATATTTCCAAAAAATATGTAAATGTTGGACTGTTGATATCCTTGTTTCATCAATGTATTTGTAAAAAACATGCCCCAATTATATTATATCAAATAGTTTTCATATGACTACGAGTTTTTTCCCCTTGGCTGCCATCTTGGTGGTCAACCTAGTAAATTTTTTATCTTTGTCTCACCAATTTAAAATGTTATAACTGAAATATTTGGAGAAAAATCTTTATAGAATAAAAATTATAAATAAAGGAGGCTCTAACTAATGAATATTTTTCAGAAAAAACAATACTTCCAACTACACAATCGCCAGTATAAAAAGTTAAAGTTGGTAGAATAATGAAGGAATATGAGCATGTTGATCTCCAATATGGGGGCCAACGGTAAATAACTCTTGTTATTTTGGGCCCTCTGAAAACTACCTATATAGAGATAGAAAAGTTGATGTCACGTTTGTCATAAAGCTGAGTTTTTATTTTGCAATCAATGTCTTACTGTATAAAAAAAATCGAAGGAGAAGAAGGAGAAAAAAGTATGTCATACTCTGGCTTTTATTTAGAGTTTAAAGAATATATTGAATCAACAAAGGAGTGAAACTGAGTATTGTGATAAATAAATTTTTGAATTAATTCTGCTTCATATGAACAAAAAACATGCTCTATACTGTATGAACAATTTCTAAAATGAGGTAAGATTTTGGAAAACAAGTTGATGAATCAAGGATATCAGCAGTCTCGTTTAAAGTCATCATTTCGTAAGTACTACGGTCTACACAATGACTATGTCAGCAAATACAAACTATCATTAAGTCAAATGCTAACTGACGTTTTTCATACTAATTGTTAAGGCCGGTTTACACTATGCATCTTGACACATGCATCTAAACTCATGCTTCAATTTTGCCTCACGTATCTTCTTATTTACACTATGTGTCTTGATGCATGCATCTTTAACATACTTTGTAAAGATGAAATTTCTCGACTTAAAAAAATAACAATACCTTCAAATTTCATTTCCAGATTTATTTTAGCTGAACAAATTATTCTTAATTTCCTTTTTATGATAATTCTTGGAAGATATAATTCATATTTATTCCAAAACAAAAACTCCTCTATATTATAATAATCAAATATAAGTTTTTCTAAAAAGTGATGTCACGTTTGAGTTTTTTATTTTGCAACCAATGTCTTACTGTATAAAAAAAATCGTTGTAGTTTTTATCAGTATTTTCTGTTTTTTGTGTATCTTGGGAAGCTATTTTTTAAACTAAATGAAAAAAATAAGGCTTATGATTCAATATTAACTCTGACCTTTCTTTTCATTGCATCTTGAAGCACGGAATAGAACAAGTTCTATTCCATCGTTCAAGATGCAACACCCATTTAATTTGACACAAGGGGCTTTTACACTGTGAATCTTGACACATGCATCCAAGATGCATGTGTCAAGATGCATAGTGTAAACCGGCCTTTAGACCATTATCTATACACTGAATTGTCGATGGATTTTTCCGTGATTTCCCGATCATGACAGGGAGCACACGGCGGATGTGACCGATCGGCAGGTGATGCTCACTCCTCCATTGCACCTGATCCCACCTCTGATGTTTTGGAGGTCCGTGTCTGCTCTGCTCCTATTTTACATTGTTTTATGGACTTTTGATCTTGAATACTGTTTGTTATCTCCACATATTTCAATGCTATTACATGTAACAGAGCATTTTTTACCCATGGGAATTCAATGAGATTGTTGGAAGACGTGTTCTTTGAAAAATATTTTGAAGAACAGTCTCGATCCTTATTTCACTAAATTGAATTTGGAGGACTTATGTGTAATATCAGAATATTTTTAAAGTTGGCAAATGATCAAATAATTCCTAAATAAGTTATGTACTGGTTTCAAAAAATTAAAAGAGTGTCGTATGACACATCTATAATAACAACTGTTACATAGAAATGATATTTTTATTTGCCATTATATAATTGTTTCTTTTTTTTTAAGTCAGTCTTTGCTATAGCAATGTGTCCGAAGAGTAAATCAGGATAAAGCTTCAAGATTATGTTTCAAAGATTGTTTTTATGATTGATCCTGGATGGGGGATAAGATCGGTGGACGGGCAAACAGACAGACAATCATACCCAAACACCTTTTTATGGATAACTAAGATATACTGGCCTTTATTGAACAGTAATGTCGCTCTTTGGTCTAAATACTTAAAAAAGATGTTACTATCATTCTCATCAACTTGTTGCCTCTGGAGAGATTAATTCGATTTGCAAAAATTTCCATAGTTTATACATGATATCTAGTCATGTAATTTACTCAAATCATTATAAACAATTAAATAATGGTTTAACAATTGAAGCTTCCAGTAGTTTTTGCCCATTTACACAAACTAATCCTACATGATTCGTAATAGTTTTGGAATGCTGTTATCTGTGCGACGGGTAGGTCTACACCATTTTATATATATATCGGAACATGAGAAAAATGACTACAATCTTGTTTAACTGAAACAATTCACACAAATGTAAATTTTCTTTAATACATGTATATATGTTATAAAGCTATATAATGCTGCAAATAACATGTTCAACGCGACATTTGCTTGAAGAGTCCAGCGTAAAAAAAAAAGCGTCTTTCTGAGCAGTTTTAAAAAATTGTATTGACTTATGTATATAAGAACTTTGATAAATATTGGTTATTCAGAAAAAACAATACACGCTATCAAGGCGCCCAATCCACAAATTATCTGCAGATAAATATTTTTGTGTGTTTTGTTTTGTTTTGTTTTTTTTGTTGTTGTTTTTTTGACTTCATAAAAAGTTTTAGAGTTTTAACCATTTATATATTATAAGCAAACATTGAAGACGATACACTGTACAGCCAAATAAGTAGTCATTTTTCAAATTCATTCCACAAAAACCTGACACAACCAATCCCAAAATGTAATTTAGCCTCTCCTTAAAAGTTTTGGAAATATTTTGGAAAGATTAAACTTTGTTTTCCAGGATTAAAACGAAAATCGGAAACCCTTTTGTCTTTTACATTCTGCAAGGTAGCAAAATCGACTTTAAGAAGATCTTTGGTAATGTCCTATAGATGTATATTCATGTTTAACAATTTTCTTTTCTATTAAAACTCGTAATGTATTTATTTAAAAAATACTTTCACCTGTGTTTATTTGCTCACCTGAGCATTTAATGCTGACCTTAATATTTTGTATTTATATAAATGAAGTGAAAACTATTATATTTCTTTACTAATAACTCAAATGCAATGGAATTTATTTTAGAGCAATACGTTTGCGTTTTAGTGTCTAATAACAGCTTCAGTTTAACAATTAACCCATTTTTTTTTCTTCAAAACTTTGACTCAGAGGTCCTTTCAAATGTCAACCTGCTATGATTTAGACAATTTCTAATATCTACTGCTTGAAAAAAGCACCTGTTAGTTTTTTTACTTCTCATCCAATGAATATTTGCACATTGTCAAAATGTATACTTTTACACTCAATTATATTCTCTAATTCTTTATTAGAAAGTCCTTCTTTGAGGAAGCATTCAATCAATTGAACTGATAACAGTCTAACGACAGGTATGCTTTGACCCAAAAAGTTCACGTGATCTCAGCACAAACGAACAATAAACATAAAGCAAAAATATGTATATTTATAAGAGATACAATAGAATAAAACATTTTTTACAAATAAACATTATACGTTACACATGGCAAAATATGGATGACAGTGAAATAAAAATGTCAAAAGCTAATTACTAACTGTACAAGATACAGTCAAACAGAAAGGTAAAGGGTACATAATTTATTTGAATATTTGGACAAATATGTCAATTGGGCATGAAAACGAACAAAGAATTTACCAAATACTGACTTTTGATTGGGGTTGTTGAAATCCTGTAACCTTTATTTTTCAGTGTGTAGAATTCCAAGCTTTAAAAATTAACCATTTTTAGAAAAAGCTTTTGGCTAGCTAATAATTTTCCTTGCTTAAAGGGGGGATTTGATTTTCTCATATTTAAAAATAAAAAAAATACATACATGCAGACAAACACTTGCCCCTGATGATGGTATGGAGAAAAAATTTAAATACCTCAGGTATATATATCTCAACATAAAGGTATTTATTTGCTACATCTTAGATCTGAGATAAAATCAATATATGGTTGTCAGAATAAGGAAGTAGAAACCAAATAAACAACGGCTTAGTAATTTTTAGTATTACAGTCTATAATATGAAGAATACAAAAATAAGTTCGCAATCAATATGATTGGTCACAAAGTCTGAAACGTCATAAAACATATGTTGCTCATAAGTCTTCGATGTAGTATAATAAAAAACAGCGATTAAAAAACAATTAACATTTCCTCTACTTGTTTAAAACGAAAATACCCTGGCCGTAAATTTCAGGAATGAAAATAACCGTTAATCCTTTTTTCCAAATATGATCCTCATTTTTGTACTTAAATATGGGTTTGATTTCAGAAATAAGGAAATACAAGTCTTTTCTAGCTAGAAATGAATTTAGTGAAGATGTCATGATAAATTGGTAAAGAAATACCCGTTATAAAATGACTAATCTACCCAATAAAGGGATTAACGAACGCAAATTCACACTATAGAACACAAATGTTCTTCCTTGAACTCGGTGTATCAAGTTGGATACACACCCTAAGAAGTGGAAAACCCTCCTACACGCTAGTACTTTCACCAACAATCAAAAAAAACGTTCTTTTCATTTCAAATTATTGCCGGAGAATTTATGGTAAAGTTTGCACATAGTTCCTGATGACGTCATACTTCCTCCGTTTCTAGAGCTATTTCGGACATACCGGAAGTTCCATTTTCATTGGTCTCTAATATCCATGTTTGTGGATTGACGTTATATATATCTTGTCTCTTTTTTTGTTGAGCTCTGCAAATACATTAATCTCATTGAATGATGATCGAATCTGTATAATTATGCAAAACTATATTGTTAAAAAGAATACATTCACTCTTGCAATGAATACAGAAAAAATATGTAATCTAGAACTGCATATTGCAATAATCTTTCTATTCAACATTTATTTAAGGAATCACTGTCTAGTTTTGAGAGTATGCCAGGGCATCAACAATAGTGGGAAACATGGGATAATTTGCATAACGCGAAGCCCGTTATGCTAAATTATCCCATGTTTCCCACTATTGTTGATGTCCCTGGCATACTCTCAAAACTAGACAGTGATTCCTTATATTTCCATTTCATTGTGAAATAAAATTGTAGATTTAGACTTTAAAAATGTAGACATAGACGATAATCACACGAGGACTTCCATGCCAATTTCAATAGTCCTCACCCACTGACGTCAAACACATAGGCAGCCGCACGAGATTTACATGCATATTTGGCATCCTTAGCGTCATATTTGCATGCGTATTAGGCCTCCTTAGCTCCTGACCTATCGACCTACCTAATTTACATTCCGGCAGAATTATCAAGAAATAAACTCCGAAAACTTTTAAAGAGTTATCACAGAGAAAAAAATTAGAAATGGAAATATAACAGTTTATAGCATATATATTTAAGATATATTACTTTCTTTCACTTGTTCTTCTATCTAAAAAGTTTTAGAAAGTTAATGCTATATGAGATACTTTCAGAGTAGTTAAAATGCATACACAGCAGTATATACATCAGTATAATACAATTCTTATCCACTCTGTGTGACTGGCTGTTCATTTAGCTTTTCATCAAATCTTTAACTGCAACTTTTGGAAAACCATTTTGCGCGTTTGTTAAAAGAGCTTCTAACTCACAGTCAGTAGATGACAATGTTTATCTACCGCTGCAAATATATCTTTTTCTTTAATATAAAATCGCGCTCCGGTTTCAAAGACAACATTGTTATCTACAATACTAACCTTAATTTCCTTACGTATACAAAGACCCCCAGCACTGCTATTACAGCAATGATCCCCAACACGCCCCCAACAATGGCCGGCCAGTAATGCATGACGTCATCATCAATGGTTTTCGGACCGCCATCTGGAATATTCGGTGATACTTGATAAGTTGCTTGTTTAGAGAAGACATTTGTTGACAAAGATAACGATGGCCCTGTTGTTGATATATCCACTTTTACTTTTGTTGGAGGATGCTTTTCGGTGTTTTTCAGACTAGTTTTTGTATTCTGTTGAGTTGATGATTTCAAGGTAGTTGGTTTTATTGACGTGGTTATGATCGCTACTCTATTTGTTGGCGGATTATTTTTTGTGGTCTTTCGACTTGGTGTAAGACTTATTTGTGCTTTTGTTTTTAATGAGGAGGAAACCATAGGTTCGGTGGTTGTCTCCACCTGTGACGTCCATGGACTTGTACTTGATGAAATAAATAAACTTTCTGTAGAAGATACGGTTACTTCATCTGTATTTATTTCTGTAGACAGCAATTTTATTGTTTTTGGAGTAGTGGTGAATAGATTTACTTCCGTTGATGTTTTCATATCAGAAATTGTCACAGAATCTTTCGTTGTAGAAGTAACAGGATCTTTTGTAGAAGTTACAGGATTTTTCGTTGTAAATGTAACAGGATCTTTTGTTGGAGAAGTAACAGGATCTTTCGTTGTAGATGTAGTGTCCCCAGTGTTCAATGTGGATTTTTCGTTTAAATCATTTGTGCAGTTTTCTGTATTTTCGTTTATATATGATAGCTGTGTTATCCCTGAAACAGGGTGAATCGTTGGACACAGTCTTTCCCTACTTGGCTTGGCGGTAGAGAGTGAATACACCCAATCTGTCACAGGGTTGGTAGATCCTGTTAGACTATTTAAGCAGGGAAAATTGTCAAGAAGACAGAATCGACTGCAGTCTTCTTTTTCAAAGTAGAATATGTCACAGTTGTACCGCAGTATTAATCGTAATCTAAAAAAGAAAATAATGTAGATCACATTATACTTATTTATTCATGCAGTTGGAAGGTCGATGAATAAATTTCATTTGGATCCATGGGTTTCATATTTTAATAATATCTTTAAATAAAAAGAATCAGGCCAACTGTGAAAAAAAACTGTTTGGTTGCCCCCTCTTAAACAACTGGCTTAATATGGTCCAACTCAATTTTTTTTTTTTAACATTCCAGGACACGATATTTTTTCTTTTAATTCCTCTTATTCCGTCAACTAATATGTTGAAATTTTCTGGATTTTCCCACTTAACTTCCGACCCAAAAACTTATTGCTAAATCCAAAATTGCATCCAGAAATAAAGATTTTTTTTGAAAACAAATAATGTCTTAAAACTACTGAAGCCCTGGAGGGACATTGACTTACTTGTTATGACTTATTTGTTATAACTTTTTTGTTTTGACTTATTTGTTTTGAGATTTTTTTTTGTTAGTTCTAACTAAGTGTAGGTAAGCTATTGAGAACAATTAATTTTAGTTTTGTAGTTAAACGTACAAAACTGATGTGATTACTAAATTTTTATCTGTTAATTACGGACGCCGTTGAGGGATACTGACTTATTTCTTATGTGTTTTGACTTCTTTCTTATGTGTTTTGACTTCACTCTTATGTGTTTTGACTTTTTTAAAAAAATTGTTATTTTGAATCTGTTATGGCAAGTTTAGTTTACAAAAAGTGGCGTGAAAGATGGAAGCAACGTACAGTTTGAGAAAAAAAATTCCTTGATTTTATTACTAACGACAAGCTAAGATAGTAGTGACTCTCATGTTCTCGTCTTCAATTATTATGCAAATTGGAAGTTACATATAACAATTACGTGATAGCTTTTATATAGAAAATAAGAATTAAGTTATAACAACAAAAATAATATTTACTTTAGAAATCACGACTGTACTGGACGTTAAACCACAATTTGTTAATCAAATACCAAAGTTAAAATAGGACTAAATATCATAATTATCATAAAAGTAAACCAAGCAGCAGGTTTTCAATAGCTTTCTTATACTTAGTTATAACTAGCTACGAAACAATCACAACAAATAAGTAAAAACAAAAAAGTTATAACAAATAAGTCATAACAAGTAAGTCAATGTCCCTCCAGGGCTTCCGTATAAAACTGAGTAATAGAAATAAAATGTTAGGTTTCTAATTTTTGTTGTTATTTTGAAATACATACTTTATTAACTTTTACAATTGGAAAATGGGAATAATTTATCTATAAGATGAGGAAAAACAATATCTGCTCAACAATCTGCTCAACATAGAAAAATGCTACCAAATACCATTTTGAAAAAAAAAAAAACAACTTTTTGTGACTACATGTATATGAATAATTAGCAGGTCTTGCATTTTCATGTTCAAGTAATTATAAAAGTGCTTATAATTGACAACTTTGTTAATCACAGCAAATGGAAAACATGCAAACAACACAATGAAACAATCATATTAAATTTTAAAGATATGATTTATATTCTAATAATAATAATAATCCTGCAAATTATATGTGTTTTGACTGCATTAAAACTCATATTCCAAACTTTTGTGTTAGCATTTATATGTCAAATCTTGATTAATATTTGGAAAAAAATATCGTCCTATTCAAAAATGTTGTTTTATTATTACAACTGTAATATAGCAATATAACGTGATTTCTTGAAAAAGACGTTAATGGTAATCTAACAACTAAGCTCTTGACTTTTACTCTTCAGTCATCAACTTCCTTTACTAATATGCAGCAATATAGTATTACCTTCATCACTTGCATACGAGGGTTATACCTCACAGTTGATTCAATACGCAAGAGCATGCTCGACGTATGAACAATTTCTAAAAGGAGGTAAGTTATTGACACAAGTTGATGAAACAAGAATATCAGCAGACTCGTTTAAAGTCATCATTTCGTAAGTTCTATGGTCAATACAATGACCTTGTCAGCAAACACAATCTATCATTAAATCAAATGCTGACTGACGTTTTTCGCACTAAATGTTAGGTCATTATTTCAATTTTACACACTGAATCGTCTTTAAATTTGCCCGCAATTTCCCGATCAAAACAAGGAGCATACTGTGCGTGTGCCCGGTTGGGAGGAGATGCTCACCCCTCCATGTAACCTGAGACAACCTGTGATGTTTAAAAGATTTGTGTTTGCTCGACCTCAAATGTGTAATGTTTAATGGACTTTAAAAGCCTGAATATTCGTTTTCACCATATATTTCATTTTAGAGGTCCATATTTGTTTTGTTGCAATTTTTCATTGTGTATCACTGTCAATGTATATACATGTTATATGTTCTTGGTGATAAATAGCAATTTGTTTTAAACACTTCTCAAAAATTCTTATCTTAACCACAACTTCCTAAGAATATTGCATTTAAATCACAACATAATCAATTAGCAATCACGTTATTTCGAAAATGAATTACAAGTTTTGTATATCAAAGACAAGTTTTCAAAAATGATTTCATATGATTGTAAGAATCACATTTTTTTAAAAATAAATCACAGGTTGTGAATATAAAATACTTCGGTTGTACATATCGAGCAAATATATATTAAAATCAACTTTTTGGAAATAAAATCATTATAAAATATAACAAATTTTCGAAATATATATAAAATCTTTTCGTATGTAAAATTAAGTAATTTTTTTTTGACCATTTCTTAGAAAATATATAACACAAGATTTGTACGAAAAGGTAACATTTTACAAGTAAAAGAAAAAAATGAGTGATAATTTTAACAGAATCCTGCAATCTTGTTTTCTGAATAAACATGATAAATGCAAAAAAGAAAAATGTATTTTTTTTTCTTTTTATTTAGAAATGTATGTATGAATTTTTTGTGTATTTATTGAAAATTCCTTGCACTTCTTCCAATATCCCTGGGAAAGATGATTTAGTTTTGTCCTCTAGATTCAGAACTTGTCTCTGTTAGAGGCTTATATGGTTAGCTTTAAGTCAAGGAGTTTGTTTATGTATATCTTATCAGAAGTTTGTGATTAGTCCACCTATAATCCTTGAACAATGAATTAATGCACGGATAAACAAACCTATAAATAAGGACCAGAATCGGTGGCAGGAAGTCATTCTGTTATCAGATTGTCGTTAGTTGACCATTAGAGACAAAAATCGTTACATTTTCACAAGTTTCTAGTGTTAATCTATGGCTTCACACATGTAGCAATCTTTACATTCACAAAAGAAATGCTTTTTTAGTTTGTTAATGTGTGAATGATGGTGGCAACATTGCACAGAAAAAAAGGATAAAATACATTTTTGTATTTATTTTCTGCAATGATTGCAACCGTTATGCCTGTGGTCACAAACAACGATATACATAAGTTATGTCCGTATAAATGAAATCGAAGTGAGTTTAAAATTATATTTTGGTCTAAACATTACATGGATGGAAGAGATGCTTTATAATGAAATCTTTGAAAGAAGGACCTACCAAGTTTTATAATGACAATAGCTAGGATTCCTTAAAAATCGCAGGAGAAAATATTCAGTAGTTGTGAAAATTATTTCGTAAGGCTCAATTTCTTCTTTTTTAACATCTAATAAGCTAATAAAACATTTTTAATTTGTTTTTGTTCTGACTGCTTGTCGGTATTTTAGATACCATAAAGCATTTCTTACTTGAACTGAGAGAATTTTAAATAAGCATGATTTTTATGTGTCCTGATCGATAGATCGGGGGAGCATATTGTTCTTGTCCTGCCTGTCTGTTTGTTTATCTGTTTGTCTGTCTGTGTGTTGTCAACTTTAACCTTCACCATAACGTTTAAATCACGAGGGATACAGGCTTCATATTTGATATGCTTACTCCACTAATTAAGCTCTTACCAATGACACCAAGGTCAATGACCTTGTGACCTTGACTGTGACGTATAAACTTAAGATATCTTTTTTGAACCTTGCCATAACTTTTGAACCATACGAGATAGAGACTTCATATTTGGAAGGCTTACTCAACTAATCAAGTTCTTTCAAATTACACCAAGGTCAATGACCTTGTGACCTTTACTGTGACCTACATGTATATGCTAAAATAGCTTTTTCGAACTTTGTTGTCGTCGGGTGCATTGTGTTTGACAAACACATCTTGTGGTTGATTTTGACTAGTTTTGACTAAATAAATAAATACATGTAATACAAGTCATGTCAGACTTACACTGTTTCGTTTTGTGGTCTCATTCCATATATAGTCTCATTCTTGTAATTCAGTTCTGGTTTTCCATATTTAAATGTGAAGTTAAATATGTCCACCAAACTTTTGTCTTTCCTTTCCAAGTCATAAATACTGACAAGTATTGTTACTTCCCCCTATAAAACAATAATTATGGTCATGCTTTTGAGAAAAAAAAAACATCGCTCTCGTATAAGCGTTCTGAAGACATTGGTTGTACATAAGCTAGGCTCTTGATAATGAACTTACGGGCCACTTTTGGAAAGAGAATGATAGAGGATTCTTCATTTCGTTAGAGGGTGGTATCGAAATAACCTTAGATCCAGAGACGGGCGTGTCTAAAGGACTCTTTGTTTCATTCCTAAAAAAAATTAAATAGAACACTTTAATGAATATTATACATTTATTGACTGAGTTCGAGGGCAACATGCATTTTGTCTTTGCCTTACGGCCTCAGGCAGACAGTTTGGCTCGAGGGTCGACCAAACGCATTTTGCCCGAGAAGTCGGTCAATAAATGTTTTGTTATACCTTTAATTTTATTTAAATTTATTAGTTGCCATACATGTATGCTGTACTGTCTTTCGTGATGTAACATCAGGTCAGTCACTGTTGAACACCTACCAATGAAATTGAGATTAAGCTCCGCCCATTCTGTGACGTAAGCGGTCCAACATCTCACCGACCTATCCAACATCGCACTCAGCGGTCCAACATCGATTTTTTTTATGCCCGCTCACCAAAACATTACAAATGTTAGATTTTTTTCGTAGATTTGTATAGGAACAAACTTTTAAAGGTATAACAAAAATACATGTACATGTAACTTTATGTTACAAACATGATGCATTACTATTTATCAATAATATAGTATGATTAATTACACCATTCATTCTCATTTCTTCGAAGATAAAAATTAAAAATTTTCCTTGAAAAAAAAAAATCCCAGAAAATTTAAAACCGATTTAATTAAGGACAAGAAGTCGTGCTATTACAAAAAATAAGCAACCTACACGCAGTTTGATATTTACAGTTATAAGCAGAAAAATAAGAACTTTAATTTGTACACGTATATTCTTTTTAACTTACTGTCCGAGGCCGATGACGGTGATGTCAAAGAGCAGACGACAGTCAGTGTAGCAGACGGTAGAGTTTTCTTCGCCACAACAAGTCCCATCGAATGTTCTATTAGAGGGGTTTAAAAATCCAAGCAATCCAACAAATAGGGTACCTCTGCCGGTTACTAAACCTATCTGAAACCAAGATTCCAAGAAACCTCCTGCTTTATTTGTCAAAAGAAAGACAACTTTTGATGAAGTGTAGACATGTTCTCGACATTGTGAATGCAAGTATTAAATAAATGTTTCTATTACTTACTAGTATTAAAACTAAGTTCATTTTGAGGTGAAAAATATAGGAATCAAGTATTTTGAACTTAAAAGTAAAATAACAAAATGCAATGCTGGCAAAATGGGTATATCTGACGAGGAATTTGATTTTGGGGTCAATTTTAACCCGAATGACTTGAAAGTACTATAAAAAACAGAAAACAAAATCACCGTTCTTGTAAGAACACCTCATTTAAAATTATACGAAAAATTATAAGATACAAACTTAAAAAACGAAATAATTTCGTTCTGACTAAGATTAAGGTTGCATCAAGTGTTTAATTGTATCAGTCATCCCTAAATGAATTAAAATTTTTAATTAAGACTGATACATTTTAAAATACATCTAAGACATTCAAACTATAAAAAATTATGTACAAAAGCTGGTCAAAGTTAATGAAAATTCTGAATCAATTAAGTAGAATATTTCGAACATATATAAATAAAATGAAGCTATTGCAAGGTATGGAAATCTGAGAAAATGGGTTTGGAAAATTTTCATCTGTTAAAATATGAAAAGATCTCACACATGAAAAGCATTTTGTGTAGTAAAACATGTAGTACTGAAGCACCGAAACGATTGAATTATATAGAGATAATATTCAGTATTCATGCTTTGATGTCCATTCAAAAATACACAAAACAGGAGCAGCGCAAACACGGACCTCTAAAACATCATAGGTGCGATCAGGTTCCATGGAGAAGTGAGGATCATAATCGAGAAAAAACGGAAAATCCATCGACAATTCAGTGTGCAAAGGATGGCCTGTTACAACGCACTTTGAAAAATTACGCACTTTGAAAAAAATTTTCAAAGTGCGTTAAAATTTGGAACCAAGCTAACGCACTTTGAAAAAAATAATTTTTTTTCAAAGTGCGTTAATATCAACCATTTTAACGCACTTTGAAAAAAAATGTTAAGATTGATTAATGTTTCTTCAAATATAACAGATCTAGATCCAGGCTTATTTACCTTTTTATGATAAAGTCATCGTAGGACCTGAGATATTGACGTTTTAAATATTTAAGGTTTTGATAAAATAAAAGGGAAAATTAAAGGGTCTTGAAAAAAAGAGTGACGATTGTTTAAGTTAATTAATTCGTTTCCCCCTTTTTTTTAAATTCTAGTCTTTGATAAGTAGATGTAAAGGTGTATAGGGGGCACTAACAGAGGACAGCTTCAAGCAACTTAGCATTCATCATAATAAAAAGGGGCCAATTTGTTTGTTCAAAACTGAAAATTCTTTCTCTCTCATACGTTTTACTAAACTTTAAAATATCTAGTTTTCATCTGTTTTAATTAACTCATTTATTATTGAAAGTTTTCAACGTCACACCACTTAGGTAAATACATAATTATGTTCCCCAAACGAAGTTGGGGAACATATTGTTTTTACTCTGTTTCTTATCATTAAGGTCTTCCGTCTTCAGCGGAAGACCTTCTTGTTATTCGTTTGTTTCTTTTCCACTGTTTTTCTTCTTATTTTTTTCTTACCGATTTTGAGCACGCGATTTCTCAAAAACGGTTGGTTATATTTTTATGAAACTTTCAGGTCTGATAGAACATAAAAAAAAAACTTGATGCATTTTTTTTTCATTTTGATGACGTCACTTCCGGTTCGAAGATTTTTGCAATTTTATGATATTTAAGGGTCATTTTTCCGTCCGCTCTTCTTAAAAACCGCTCTTCGCAGGAAGATGAAACCTATTCTGGAAGATAGAGCAACAAATGTAGATTTGCATTGTGTTGTTAACTTTCACCGGAAGTACTGCACGTTGACGCTCGGTATGGTCTGAAAAAAGTCATATTGAGCGTTTCAAAATTTCTTACAGTTTTTCTATTATATCGTTTTACTTGTAAACATTTTGTTAAAACATGTAGAACAAAAATTGTGAAGAATTCTGAGATCTTTCAAATGATATCTCGAAAAAAGGGCTGACCCCTAAAATTAGGGATCTAGAGGAGCCAAAATTTTTTACTTGATATCTCGTAAAGTATTGAGAATTTGTAATACTTCAAAGAAGCAAAGTTGTTCAAAATGACAAGCTTAATCTATCTGATTCGTCAAAATACGTCCGGCGGCGTCACTTCCGGCCAAACCGGAAGTAGTCAAATACGCGTATTTTTGCCGTTCTTTCAAATTTTTTGGGTAACATATGTCTCTGGGAGCATAAAAATTAATTTTCCGTCCGTTGGCGTCACTTCCGGTGAACCAGGAAGTAACAAAAATTGCTTATTTTTGCATTAATTAACATAGCTTTAGAGGATTCAAACCATTTTCAGGCATTATTTCTCATTTTTGATGAAAATGAAAGCTACTTCCGGTCAAACAGGACGGAAGACCTACTCGTTGCTTTGCAACGAGCTTTACTCTAGTTATTATTATTTTACTTCTTCCTGGGTACTTATTTCTCCGGGAGTGATCTTGTAAACTACACATCCGACTTAGGTAAAACCTTTTTAGGGTTAGTAGGCATGTTATGTAGATTTGCAGAACGAAGGTCATTTTGCGCGCACGTGCTTGCAAGAGCGTGCACGTGAAACATGTGAAATGACCGATTTAATTGACATAGGCGTAACGTTTTACATTTTTGATGAAATGCTTTGAAACTCATTATATAAGGATATATTAGTAGCATAGACAATATGACATGGTCAAAATCGCAAGATCTCACGCGCATGCACGTACACTTCGCTCTGATTGGCTGAAACTAAAGTCTCTATATCTTTCTTGTTTTTTGACGAAATCCCTTGAAATTTTTAACATAGCCATACATTAGGATATCCTACAACATGATACGTAGCAATTATCATGAAAACACGTGCATGCACGTGCCCTGCAATTTGATTGGCTTAAACTTTAAATAGCTATGACTCCCTTGATTTTCAACCAAACAGGATTGGATTTGGAACATAGATAGATATAATGGACCTCTACAAGAAGCTATCGTCACCATGCACATGCATACACGTGCGTGTACATGTGCTGCAATCTGATTGGCTGAAACTTTAAACTTTAAACGGGGTGGAATTTAGAATATAGATAGATGTTATGGACTTCTACAAGAAGGTATGGTCACCATGCTCATGTATGCACGTGCATGCACTTGAAATGAGTAAAATAAAAATACACTTGAATGAGACTATTTTTTAAAAATACTTTTGCATTAAATACTCTAATATTTAGTATATTAAAATATATAGATTCTGTAGACAATATGATATGGTCATTACGCACATGCATTCACACGCGCACACGTGCAATGCTAAAATTTGAATGAACTTGGTACACTTCTGGGTAAACGTTGTTAAAGTCTCAAATGCATAGAGTTTGTCTTATTTAATGAAGCTAACAGGGGATATGGCACCAAAAGGGAGTTGGGGAGCGTTTGGGGAACATCTGTAACGGTCCCCGTTACAATTAGCACTAGTTATATGAATTCTTTGAGTATAGCATAGACATTGAGACTGGGCGAAGGGCCAGGTGAGGGGATGGGGGGGGGGGGCTACTTATTTTGGAAAGATATATACATCGTATAAGCATTTAAAATGCAGCGTAACCTTTTTAGGTTTATTGCTCCCCTCCCCCGTTTGTTACCGACACCTATGTATTGGAAAGATAAAGATTTGGACTGAGGGATCTTATATCCGTCTTCTCCCCTATTCGACGGGAGTAAATCAATTCATTTTTGAGGTTAGGGTTAGGCTTAGTTTTTTGAAAGATAAATAACAAATAAAATCTTTCCATGACTAATATATAATTTTTTTTTCAAAGTGCGATAAGTGTCTCCATGGTAAAATATATTGATGTAGACTCTTCACGCACTTTGAAAAAACATTTCAAAGTGCGTTGAGTTAGTCCCAAATTTAACGCACTTTGAAAAAAAATTTCAAAGTGCGTTGATTTTGTCCCAATTTTAACGCACTTTGAAAAATTTTTTCAAAGTGCGTAATTTTTTCAAAGTGCGTTGCCACAATGGCCTGATAATTGCTGACAAGATCATTGTATCGACCATAGAATATACGAAAGGATGACTTTAAACGAGACTACTGATATTCTTGTTTTCAACTACCCGTTTGTCAATGACTGACCTTGTTTAAAAAATTAAGAAATTGTTCATTTGTAGTGAATGTTCTTATGCAAATTAACTGAGAGATATAAACCCCGTATGCAGGTGATGATGCATAAGAAGGCTGAGGATTGAAAAGTTAATGACATCACGTTTCACATAAAGCTTTGTTGTTAGATTAAAGTTTTTTTCAAGTAAAACATCCAAATATGATATAGATGTATCAGACTCTGTGATATATTTTATTTCAAGCTCACTGGGATATATTGTGTCCACAACTATTGTTTATTGATAATCATATAATATGTCGTCGATAAATCTAAATATCGTAAACAGCACGTGTTTCTACTTCTCGCGTTAAGATTTTGAATAAATTCTTCTTCATATGACTGCAAAAAAAGGCCTGCTAATGACGGGCCGGGGTGCAATTGGTACCCATTTAAGGTACCGGATAATATTCCAACAAACTGTCTATAACCTCCAAAAACCACATAGATATTGTCAATCAGAGTCTCAATTTTTTTTAAATTCTAAATATAGAATGTTTTTGTGTACAATCAGAATTTTTTTAAACAAGATAATGCAAATGACCAATGGCAAGGTAAGTAAATTTATGAGTTACATTTTTTATTGAAAAAGCAACTTTCAATGGTTTTAAAAAGATTTGAGAAGTCGGAAGTTTTTAATATTGATTTTGGTAAAATTTGGTGATTTCAAATTTTCCATGAGCTCCTTGAAATTTTTAAGTATCCATATCTAATTTACATCACTTGAATGTATTGTTGCACAGTATTCCTGAAGTTTCTCCTTCACTGTCGTATTATTGTGAGAAGTAAAGAAAGAGGCTTTGTAGAACATTTACTGGAACCCGCTAGGTATCTTTCTTTGTAATAATTTTTATGTAGTGTCGGAATCCATTATAGATAAAGTAATGCAAAT